GGTTGGATAGACTTATCAGGAGATGGGATTAACACAAGGCGTGTTCAATCTTCATTGTGATAGCCAGAGTGCTTTACACTTGGCTGCAAACCAAGTCATGGATAGCAGAATGAAGCACATCGATATCATGTATCACTTTATAAGACAAGTAGTGTCTAATAAAACAATTGAATTAGTCAAGATTGACAGTAAACTCAATCTAGCTGATGCATTGACCAAAGTTATTCATTTGGAGAGTTTTAGGCAACACTGTGCCACTATGCAAGTTGTGTATAGGGAGCATGAGAGATATGGTTATTAGTTACCTCTATATATTATTACTCCATACTCTTATCGCTACGGCTTAGTTTTAATTAACTCTTGTTTAAAGAGATACCTTGTGGTAAGTTTCCTTCTAAAACTTCCCGCGGAGAAATAATATAGATTAGAGAGGTGACTAAGATACCTTGACATGAGTTAAGATGAGATTTGTGAGTTACCCCTATATATTATTACTCTATATTGGTATTAGAGTAATGATATAGGTTAGAGAGGTGACTGAATTCCTTGACATGAGTTAAGATGAGATTTGTGAGTTATCCTATATATTATTACTCTATTTTGAAATGAGAGTAATAATATAGGTTAGAGAGATGACTGAAATTCTTTGATAAGATTAAAATTGAGATTGTTGAGTTAACTCTATATATTATTACTCTATTTTGGTATGAGAGTAATAATATAGGTTAGAGAGATGACTGAAATTCCTTGACATGAGTTAAGGTAATATTGGTGAGTTATCTCTATATATTATTACTCTATTTTGGTATGAGAGTATTGATATAGGTTAGAGAGGTGACTGAAATTCCTTGACATGAGTTAAGGTAGTAGATATACATGTAGTAGATATATAGGGATTAGAGTGGCTCATAAGGTTATTCTTGAGAATTTTTATTCTATACTGCAGCTTGAGCCTTATGATTAGGTTGCTTTATGAGGAATGTTATTAGTTTTCGTTGTAATGCTCAGGTCACTAGCTAGGGGAATCTTTTGATATCTGCTGGTTTAGATTTTGGTTGTTTGTATTGTGTTTTTAGCCTTTAGGTCCCACAGGCTTGATCTATAAATCATTTACTAAAATGTATATATGTTTTGATGTTGTATGTGAAAGCTATTTGCTAAAACTTCAGAGAAACATATCCAAATTATTATTTAATCAATGATTTTGTATCACCAAGTCAATCCAAGATTAATTCAACAATTATATTGTTTATGTTTAACATACTGCATTGTAGAAAAATATTTTAATTGGAATTTAAATTATTATCTAATAATTAAAAATTTTATTTCAATTAAAATTTATGCAGTATAATTTTACTATGAATTTCTTGATTTTTATAATAATTTGATAAAATCATTTTGAAAATTCTGCATAAATTTCAAGTGAATTATAATTCTAATTATTATTTTGTCTCTAGCTTCATCAATATTTAATTTGATGCAAGTTTGCAAGTTGAGTATAAATTGATCATTTGTATGAAAAATCTATATAATTTTCAAAAACCATGTCTACAAAGTTTTTAAAAATCTTTTATTGTCTATTAGACAATAAAGTACAATAAAGAATTGAAATGAAAGTAATTGATTTTACGAAATCAATTACTTTAATTTCTATTGAAACAAAATATCTTATGAAATTTCAATATTTTAATATGAAATTTGATTGAAATAATAGGAAAATAATTTTAAAATTTAACAAATTAAAAATAGAAAATTAATATTTTTAAAAATAATCTAAATTATATTTTTACTAAAAATCATCTCACAAACTACATATGTTTGTGTCAAATAAAACTATGTAAGTGCATCTTGTTAATCGTAGTTAGTCTAATTATAATTAGGCTTGGACTTCAATTAGGATTTATTATGGTTGAATTTCGATTAGGGTTTGAAATACTTTATCCTAGGATGAGCACATTTCATTTTAGTTTCACACGTACCCCTATAGTGAGAGATAATGGAAAGCTGAGCTATGGAGGTCTGATGTAACATTCTTATTTTTATGAAACTTTTATCTAGGTCATGAACGTAGATTCCTGTGGAGGTGAATCACCTCCACATGAATCTACGTCCAAGTGAACCACTTACATCGATGTATTATTCTTGTTGCGTATGGTATGTGTAAACATGTAAACGACATACGTGAGAACCAACACACTTCACATCATTTGTTATCTCAAAAAATAACTATTTTTTAATTTTCTATTCCTGTGAATCAATTTTTTCTTTAGATTAGAGACTATAAATTTACAATCATATTTTCTACAATAAGATGAATACAATTCTATTTCTGTATTGAAAAAAATCATGTCAAAAAATGAATATTATTTGAAGAAAAATAATTTAAAAACTACACTATTATATTGATAATTTCAGTTGAATATTAAAATTTTATTATAAATAAAATGAGCTCCGCATACAACACAAAAACTTGTTCTGTGATTGATATTTTTTAAATTAGCAATTTATTGTGGAATAAAAATTATGATAAGTTTGCATTGTTTAATCTTACAAGTTTTAGTATTGCATAATACTTTTGAATTTTATAAAGTTTCAAATTCTGGCATGAAATAATAAATTCATACGAGTTTTGAAAAATTATTAAAAATCAATGGATAGTTTCAATTTAAAATTATGAAGCTCTTAGAAATGTATTCATCATTTGAGTAACTTTTTAGAATTATCAATTCCGATGCTAGGAAAAATTCTGTGATATTTCCCATAACAAAATATTTGAAAATAATTTCAACTGAATTAATTAACAAGCTTTCATTTTTCAAGTACTGTTAAATTAATGATATTCATCTATAGCATATTATATTGCTAAACATTATACCTTTCAAGTCGAAATCTAATCAAATTGATTTAATTGCTATTTACCTCTAGAATGTATAGATTGAGTACATGAAATCATCATTCAATATAAATCACGGATCAACAAAGACTTTAGCATTTGATTATAAGTGATTGAAGTAAACTAGCGACAATAACTAGAGTATATATAGTACTTGATGGGACCCAACATGTTTCATTTTACTTGATGGTAACCCATCAACAGCCCTACAACCTCTGAAGTTCCAATACTAGGGATAGTTCGAGTAGAACATGAAGTCACATCAGTATGGTGACTTCATGTTCTTATGGTGTTAGTCGTTTTCTTAGAGATGGTTGCGAACTAGTTGCCAGAATACTCCCCACTCTATAGAGCAAATCAATAAGTTATAAGAACATGGCCTAACGTGGTCTTCGAGTAGGATCCCATGGGTTAAAATGAAACTTGTTAGGTACCATCAAGACAATTGAGTTTCCAAGGGGTACCATCAAGTAATTTCCTCCAATAACTAATAAGATGTAGATTATGATTTTGAAATAAAAGAAATGTTGAATTATTATTTATCTCTGAATCAGTAAGTAAATTACCATGATCAATTCCATCTTAGATTTAGACCTGCACATTCCCGTCTAACTCTATGTGTGATGGCAAGAAATAACATAACAACCAAAACAAGCATTCAACCAACATTTTTCATTAAGAGCAAAAAACCTTGAAATGAACTGGCGTGAAGTCTCTCACGGTATGATCGTTCATACGGCGTGCTTGCCGTCTCGCCTTTGCTCTTTGTTCTCATCTACATGGAGTCAGTTGTAGATCTAACAGGTTCATACCGATCGTTAGTTATTCTTCACAAGAAAACGCAAGCGAGCATTCTATACATATGACTCTTTGTCAATAAGAAGACAAGTTGCTTAATTTCGATCCTTAACTATGTGTTAGAGAGAGGTATAACCAGGTTTCGTATATCACATTAATTATCAGTCTAACTAACTATAGTTACATTTACTAGAGTTAGCCAACATTTGAGTCAACTTCTACTATATACAATTATCAATAACATGATTTGAACATGTTAGACTCTGATCCATTTATCCCTATTTGAAATAAAAAATTATGAATTCGTGATATTTTTTAAAGAGCATGCTGAAAAATTTACAGAATTTGTTTCACAACCATTAAAATCTTACTTTTTTTTTTCAATACCTCCAATTCTTCTACTTCTTTTCATTTTTTCTGTTTCTTATTCATGATGGAGAAGTTGCTCACACAATTTTCACGTTGAGACTTTGAAGCTTACTTACCATCTCAGAATCCATTCTATGTTTATCACAAAACAATGACTGAACACGTTAATTATCACGTTAATATTTGTTTTATAGTCATTTATTTTTCCAGAGAACTCACTTCGTTTTTTCAACCAAAACAAATTCTTGTGTTGGTTTGCTACTTGCATCATTAACATTATATCGTCAAATGACAATCTTAAATGTAACTTACACTACTCTTTTGGAAGTAAAATCTCTCATGTATGGATACATATGACGAAGTATGTTTATCTCTTAAATTGAATCTTGTTGTCATTACATGCAATTATTTTTACCCAATTAAAGATAATGGTTTTAAATAGAAGTTCTACAAAACGCAAATATGAAAGAAGTTATTTTCAGGTTTAGACATCTCTTTTGTTTCTAGTGATGCACTAGAATATACCAGCCTGATGGAGTTGATTGTGTAAATCCGAGCACGTACTCTAACAGTTTGTTAATCGATAAAGATAACTTACATATTTACTTTATTGTTTTAAAATATAATTTACATAACTTGATTTCATCACCTTTCAGAAGCAATTCTGCAGTATCAGGTCATATTTCTCACTTAAAATACTGCACTCCAAGTGAAGTGTGCTAAATATGACGAACTATCTATGATGAAGCAAAGAGGACATCTTTAAAAAATTTCTATTTTGGTAAGTCTATTTTATCTATTTTGGTAAGTTAAACAAATTTGTAACTACGGGATGAGAACCACGTGGAATCGAACTAGGTTATGCGCCGGATGCAACCATGGTCGCCGTAGCATCGGGGCATACTGTTCCCATGTCTGCAATTTTCGCTGGACTGCATTTCCCCTGCCCCCGCTGCGATCGCATTTCTTTGGATCGATCGTCAATCGATTGCCTGCTCGGTAATGCTAATGCGGCGCGATTGCTCGAATCCTACAATTCGTCGAGGCGGGGCGTGGACCGCAGAGGAGGCTGCAGCTGGAATGTGGTTTTGAATGAAAGACGGCAAGTCGCGCAGGTCATGGAGCAAACGCAGTCTCGTCATGGACAGAACCTGACGTCCGTGTGCGAATGGATGACCGACTGTAGGTATGAAGGAATTCATGCTTTTAGAATTACAGTGAATCGGAGCAGATGGGGTTGCTACGACCTCTTGCTCGTGTTAGTCGCCATCCTGTGCTATTCTGTTTGGGATAGCTTTGCAGGAACTTTTCCCTTCTTGGTGTTTGCGACTTCTCTGGTCTTTTGGATTAAGAGAAACAGGGTTGAACAAGAGGCAGTCGTAGTGATGCCTAATCTGGGCATTCAGCTGGAAACGGTGTACTGCAGCAAGAAAGTGGATCGTCGTTTTGTTTCCTTAGACAGGATTTTAGCTCCAGTGATCAACGAGGCTGTCACCCCAGTCACTTGTTATTTCTATCTGGCATTGATTCTACAAGATGAGAAAGACATGCTTCTAGCATTTGAGAACTTGAGACCACCTCTGAAGATGTTGTCGTGCATTTGGAGATCAATCCATGAAGCTCTTGGAACAGAAACGTGTAAAATATTGCCTCCAAGATCTGACTCGGCAGAAGAGTGCGAAAAGAAAGATTCAGGATGGTGAGTGGGAGCCATTCCTTCTCCTTCTAATCTCTTGAAGCTTAAGTCGTTTGTATTATATCACAATAGGAATCTAGTCGAGTGTTACTGAGCTGGTGGATTTATTTCTTTGGTCTCCACGGATACGCTTAGCTGGATGATGTTGCCTTTTATTTCCTTCTTCATCAGTTCATAAAGACACCCAGAGTGGTTCCAGCGGTGAGTGCAGTCAACCGATATCAATAATGTTTACCTCAGCTCAAAGACTGGAAATTTAACCTCGAATACAGGTGGGCTTCAAATTGGAAGCTAAAACCACGCTGATTCGAATCCTCTTCTCTTTTTCTCAATTTTGAGGGTGCATACAATATTTGGTGTCAATAATGTCTTGAATCGCTGGGTCGGGAAGAAATGTCGGGAGCTCTTCTCAGCGTTTTGTTCTGCCCTGTACTCTACCGTACTTGCCGTTTGGGGTTTGGGGAAGGTGCACAATTCTTGAAACTCAGTGATTCAAGATACAGTTCCTTATTTCTTCACCTTATTTAAGGTGAAGAAATTAGAATTTTCCCCACATGAAAATACTAGGTTTCTGGAATGCTACAAGATTCGTCGGCGCTTATTGATATTAGAGAATGGCCTAATATTATTAACCCCCCCTACTTTCAAACAACGTTTCCGAGTTCGCAGGGTTTTTAAACTCGTATTGTTCATCTAGTAGGCATCTTTTTTAAATCCCATCAGTTCAAACGTCATCAATACGTAGTGTTCTGAAATGAACTCATCAACCATACTTACATACTGCATACTTACCATTACATTGTCACATCTACAGAGGTACTATCTTAATTATTATAGGTAGCGCCCAGTGTCGTACAACAATACATCGGGATACCTATGGGGACAGTGCAGTGTTCTTAACCAGTTTCCACTTGTTTACCTCCAGTGGGACCTCTATAATGTCTTCTTATAGAGGTACATGACAATCCAGTTTCATTGCTCCTTTCCATTCTTCTCTTCATACGTCGTTTTGTTTTTGATTTCTGGGTTTCCCAAACGCATAAGAAAATCTCCACCTGTATGGACTTATCAGGAAATACTCTAGGTGGAGGAGATACCCACCGCATTGTTGTGAGTTGAACCTGTCTTTTTCTGATACTAGTTGTAACGCTCTAGGCCTTACAATCAGGCAGACTGCAGCTGGATCTGAACTGAAAAACTTTCATCAGAAGATGTTTGCGGAAGGACAATCATATTCCCACTGTCAGGATACCCTAAGATTGTTGATTGTCGATTCGTTCAAATGGAAACGCTTTCTCTTCGGCCATCCGGCCAGTCACTTCTCGCACGATATACAACAGCATACGAAGGTGTACTTAAGTCACCTGACACATTGGGAGCTAATTGACAGCATTCTGTTTGTTATTATATCGTAACTAATCGCTGTCCAGTTTCAGTTCATAATATATTTCCAGAACCGCAACACTTGTATGTGGTATTACGAGCATTTGCCTTTTCTGCAAACTAAGATTTCGGCGATCTACAATCTACATGCCTTAAACCATCATATCACTCGATTATGGTCTCCAATTTGACGAATAACCATTGAAGGCGTGTGAGGTCCACAGAACAGAGACTTTTTTCTTGGGACAAGAGTTCTGACTACATAGGTTGGACTTGTCAGTCTGGACCAGCACCTCAAAGTCTGGGCTAGTCAGTCAAGTTACTCGTTCTGGTGAGAATCATCAGTAAACAACTATTTTGAAAGAAATAAGACAATTTTGATCAGATTTAAAAGACCTGAAAGATTCATAGATTGAATCTTTATTTCAGGACGTTTTTGTATTTTTATTCAGAAAATTGTAAACATAAATATACTAATGCGGGATGACGGGAGACGTTCGTGTCCGACTCTGACTACTAAGTTGGATTATTGTCGTTGACCTCGATGACAATAATCTAATAAGCTTCACTTATCAGACTCGCACTTATGGCATTCGCCCTGATTGATTTTCAGTTTGACCTTCCTGGTGTAGTGACATGGGCCAGTCGTGTGACAAACTCTTGAAGTTTGGGTCACGTTTTTGGTCTTCCTCTTCATTTGGTTATCCACTCTCTGCCCTTGTAGCAGAAGAGCACGATCTCCCTGGATACGGGGAAGTGGATAAATATAGGGGAGAAGGAGTGATAGTAATAATAGCATTGAAGGTGGTTATCACCTCTCTCATACCGAATATGATTGTGCCTGCCGATTGCCAATTGTCGATTGGCTTCCTCCCCTGACTGAGTCCACACCCCAAGTGAGGTCACGGTTCTAACGTTGGATGCTGTACCTCATTGATTGCATCGAGATCCAGCGCGACGACCTTCAAGTTGAAACTCGATGGGTCAAGGACCTTCAAGGGGAACGCGAAATTTCGGATGTAACTGGAACGAGTTGAAGCTCGCTCAGTCGCTACCTCGACTGCAGCCTCTGGATTTGTATTGCGTGAGTATAAAGTTCATCGTAGAAGATTCCTGAATCTCTGGTTGCATAGTTTTCATCGCTAGCGAGTTGGATTTTAAGAATCGAGCTTTGCAAATTCCGCGTCGATAGAATCCATGGATGAGAGATCGCTGATTACATAGATCCAAATGTTTTGCAGTAGACAGGTAATTGGATTTGTAATCTGACAGAAATCTGATGTTCACAATGAAGCCGATATCTCTCCGGCCAATCTCGCGTACGAGGTTTTGAAGATCATTGTATGTTTGATTGGCAGGCACGGAGGAGGAAAGGGCCGACTCTTTTGTACCTCAACAGCTGAAGGGAGCTATCTTCGATCGACTGCATCTGGTGGAGCTTTATCGGACATCAATTTGGCGACGGAACACGCTTCTAAGTTTACCCGACTGATGAGTTACTTCGTTCAGTAGCCTCGAGGAGTGGAAAGGCAATCTTTTACAGAGCTTACCTGTTTTCCGAAGGTGCAGCTTCTTGCGGACCGAGTTCACGAGCAATAACTTTGGAGGAAGTGGATCTGGTGAACAGGAATATACAGTCTGCGAAGTATGGCCGATCGAGTCATAACGAAGCCTCATGCACTCATCTTACCTGTGCCTAGCCACAGTCACCTTGTTAATTTGCTCGCATTGGCTTCGAAGCTCGCCAAGAACGGCATCACGATCACGGTGGCGGGCTTCAAACGTACAATCTCGAGCATCAAGGTCGAGTACGCCAAGGAAGTTGAAGCTCATGAATTCAATCTTTTGGAGCTTGAGCACGACCCCGGGAATGTCGACTTTGTCAACGTAAAACCAGAGCATGTCATAGCCGGTTTGCAGCTTGGATTCGTGGCTGCTGTGGAGAAGTTTGAGTCTGATCGTGCTGCCGGAATGTCGATACCAACCTGCATCATAGCGGATTTGTTTTTGAACTGGACAGAAGATGCTGCAGTGCGTCTTGGCATACAGCGATACGACTTTTTAGCGAGCGGAGTAAACCTGGCTCGACTATACAACGACGTACCCAGGTTGATTGAGCAAGGCGCGGTGAAGCTTTCGGAGAACAACTCCATCCTCCCTTTTGATGGATTTCTGCAAGTTCAGGATGTCGCAAATCTACGATTTTCGGACCTTCCTTATTCTCTCCTAGCTCTGATGGATATGGTGATGACGTTCGTCCAGACTACCTCTCGTCCTCTCGTGGTGAATTCGTTCTACGAATTGGAGTCCAGAGTGATTGATGGGCTTGCTCTTGTCCGCAAGATCATCCCGATCGGTCCTATTGACACGGCACGGGTGGACGAAAATGATGAATCCAGGGAGGAGCCAAGATCAGAATTGTTGGATTGGCTCGATACCCAACCCGAGGCATCAGTTATATACATATGCCTGGGAAGTATGGTTCGTCTCGATCCCCCTCAAATCATGCAACTAGCACTTGCTCTCGAATCCAGCAACGACTGCAGATTTTTGTGGGCTCTTAAACAACGAGATAGCAACCCGAAACCTCTGGCGGATGTGCTTCCTCCTGATTTTCAAACGAAGATGAAGGGACGTGGCCTGGTAACCAGTAGCTGGGCTCCCCAGGTCCAGATTCTCAAACACCCCGCTACTGCCGGCTTCCTTTCGCATTGTGGTTGGGGGTCAACAGTAGAGAGCCTGTCGTCCGGTGTGCCCATGATCGGGTGGCCTCATTATGCCGAGCAGTATCTGAATTGCAGATACCTTGTGGATGGACTCAAGGTGGCCATGGAAGTACTCAGAGGGACTGATGACCTAGTGGATCAAAATGAATTTAGAAAGGTTTTTGCGCTAATGATGGGGGATCACGGGAAAGATCTGAGAGACAAATGTAAATTGATTAAGGTCCATGCGACAGCAGCTGTAGCTCCCGGTGGATCCTCTGAGAAGGCTTTTCTCGAGTTAGTCGAGGATATCAAGGTTCTGAATTAGTGAAAAAAACAGTCTTTTTTTCAAATTTTCAACATACCAGCATGTTAGCTGGTATATACAACTGTGAGAAAGTTTGTTTAGAATACAAATGTGAGAAAGAGACAACAATCCGACTTTGTGAAGTAATTCCCAGCGCCCAGGTGGCAAACCTAATCGAAATGCAATCGGATTCACAAACTTAAAGAGCGTTAGAGAACGTATTGGATGTCATTATAAGTGGGAAACCTCCTGAAAGCAATCACTCTCGTATGTTACAGCCTTCACATACGAGCTAACTTTCAACATTTAACTTACAGAATGTGTATTACATGGTGAATTGCTGTCAAGTTCTGTCACCAGCTCAACCTCTTCCTTCAGGCTGGACACCATCGTACCTCTTTTCTCTGTCTCCGTTCCATCTCATTAATTATATCTATTGGATGTATGGTAGAAACAGTAAATTGAGAAACAACCATAGAGAAACAACCCTCTAAATAGACAACAGACGGTCGGTACAACGTCAACAGTAGTCCCACTACTGCGATGCTTTATTTTGAAGGTAATTCAGTATTCGGAACAACCTCTAGTGAATAAATCAAGATAAGACAAACATAATCGAATGAGTCGTCTCTTGTGTGTACATTTATATCGTCTGAATCGTACAATTGCATTCGATTGTTGCAGTCCTCTTACAGCAGGACTTGGACCGCAAGAATACCAATGATGACAGCAATGTGACACGACAAGTGAGATTTTCAGTCATCAGCGAGTCGTATGGAAGCAGATGTCGGGCAATACTGAGGCACAAAATATTTCTTTATTCATGGCTCTGTTAGCGACATGAACTTCAGCGAAAAATGCTAATCAAAAGGATCATTACATCTACTGAGATTGTTTGAGCCGATAAGTGTATTATGACTTATTTTGAAGAAAAGACAAATCATAGTGAGTATGGCGGAGTGGTGAGAAGATCTTGTGTACTTTTGTTGCAACCTTTAGACTAATCGAATACGTTCGGGGCTTATGTCAGCACAGAGAATTATGAATGTACAGGATTGATTGCGATGATAGTATAACTTCTCAACGTAATATACGTTGACAAGTTATACTATCAGTTATATTAATAGTGGCCTAAATGATGAAGTCATGAGAGAGTGATGTCATTGACAGTTGTCCTTTCTTCAGAGAAACGGAAGGTTTGTCGCTTGGAGGTTTGTCTTATTGTTCGATGAAGTTTTTCCCAAAAATCATTTCTTGAACTTGAGGAAGATGATTGTTCCGAATGTATTGAGGTTCCATGATTCCAGGGAATGTCGATACATGTTGACCATTCTCTTCAATCAGTTTTCTCTTGTCATAAAAAACTGACTTGTTTCTACAGACTTCTCATTCAAGAAGCTTGTCGAGATTTACTAATGGAATGGTAGGCGTGCAATAAGACAAAACTCCTTTCATAAAAGGAAGTAGAAAACATAGTTTTACCATTAAGAAAAACCTGTGTAAATTTCTCAACATCGCCTCCCCTGAAGCGACATTGTGACCAAAACGACGGGCCCGGTCAATTCTTAACGTTCTGACCTTCAAAACTTCGACAAACCGACGAGGACGAAGAATCTGCAGACGACAGGAAAATCAGTGCACTTCTGTTTTATTTCTGCCGACAGCATCATTTCAGCGTGTATGTACCCACTAGGCATTTCTTGACCGTAACTATCATTCCTGAATTATGGTCACGGAATGAATGATATATCTGTAACATTCGTGAATGTATAGACACAATTTTACCTCAGATTCGGCACCGCTCCCACTTCACCCACTGTCACTGAAGAATCTTGCAAGTATTCGTCCGCAATTCTGAATTCAAGACCAGTGCATTATGTAAAGCTTGTCATTAGTCGTTCTACAACACCAAAGTTTGCTACGTGCCACAGAGTTTTGAGCAAAAGCTGCAAGACATTTGTAGCCTGGTAGAAATTGTGCCTTGTCACTGGGTTTCATTAAGAGCTGCAGTAATTCTGCAGTGCGGTAGAAAATACGTATGTAACAGGTTTGTGTACGAGCTATAGCTCAACTAGCTCAATGAGCTAGTTGACAATACTCGCATCCTATTCGCATCACAAAGTCATCTTCACGGTCAAGTTTTACTGTTTGACCTACGAGTACATCATTCAAGATTAAAAGTTATAATTCAGAGACAAAATCCAGTCTTATACTAAAACAATCATGAAAAGTAAAACACGATAAGTTTCTGTTCGTGGTTGGGCTTCTGTCATATATCACTGAGGAATGAAGTTGTCATATTGAGACTGAAGCAACTTCATCTGAGTACGCTGTGATGTGAACATCACATATTCAGCACAAAGAAACAGATGTCATGTTATGGAATACATACACAGGCTCATATTGAGCAAGGACTAATAATTCAAGATATCTTTATATACCAATTCTCACTGTACGAGAGCTTGATACACCTTGTACCAAGGCGCGCCAAGTTGCACCTGAGAACCTCTAGTCAAGGCTATTGCTAATTGTTAGTAAAGACTTGGCTTTTGCCCGCGCGCTTCACAGGCCCACCGATTTAAAAATTTGTCCCCATCTAGATCCCGAGGTCCAAACCACGAGGCAGTATCATCGTTTATTGTCATCAGACGTATCAGCAATGATGGAATCATGCAGGAAACAGCATTCGAATAGAGAATTCGAATCGAATTCTCTAGTTTAATTAACAACCTTCGAATAGAGACTCTTGATAAATTCTAGAACCGAAACCTGTGAGACTGGCCAAAGCTAAAGCAACGAAAAGCTATCAGAATTGATTACATTCTCCAGAGACGCCTTGGAACAAAGGACGGTAAATGTTTAGCTCGATTTCCGCTCTTGACGACGACTGAAGAAGTATTGCTGTGTTTCAAGAAAAATCGCTTGTAACGTTTCCTTGAGCGCACCGTTGCAAAGATGAAACTAAATTGTTGGATTTATGCATAATAACGAACAGACGTGACCTACGTAGCCATACAATTTCTTTTCAGTGCAGTTTCTTTTCCTTTATTCTTATAAAATCTTAGAAATGTATCGCGAAGGAAGTGAAGACAGAAAAATCAGAACTTACAGTTCCTGAAGCCTTTTTAACCTGTTGGTTTGTGTTATATATGATCCACGGAAACGCAGTAGTTGCATAGAAAGATGTATGCACCATCAAGGAGTAAGAATATGCCTTTCATCTGATGAACAGCTCTCCTGGACATTGCATCATTGGTACAACTGTGAACAAGAAACCATAAAGCATGCCAGGATTTATTAAGAGACTATAAGAGAGACTTTTGCGTGGACTTCCAACATCTGGGCAGCGTAGCGGCTGTCTGTAACCCGAGCGGGAGTAAGAGAGATGGGAGCTGGGGCTCTCGCAGAGGACCGCTGGGATCATGTCGAAGGCACGTCCTCTCGAAGCGTGGAGTCTCTGATCTGGGCTCCTCGGCGGAAGCCAGGGGAGTCTGGGGGGATAATGTGGAGGGCACAGCGTGAGGCGGGCGACCGAGCAGCGATCACTTCCCGCTTTGCGCAGTCGAGGGACCGCGTGCTTGAATGCTTGCCAGCGATCATCCGATGTGAGCAGCTTCCTGCAACCTCTCTCTGATCTTTTTTCGCTTGCGGTCGAATATGATGAGCATACCGGAGACTGCAAGCTGTGAGTAATGTTGTCATGGTGAGGTTTGGCTTTGCAAATTGCAGGAAACTTTATGATGGCTAAGCCTTGACTATCGGAGGAATTGAATTATTGACTTAGGACAGATGTTCTTCCATCGAATGTGGGGGTAGTTCGAGTTCTTTCATAGATATGAGAACACTTTGGTAAACACAGGCCGAGGCAATCTCTTGGGGATATTGCCTCCTTGTGACCTTTGAGAAATTTTTCTGCTTTATTTCTGTTCTTCGAGAGCGACCAGGCAGATGAGCCAAGTTTCAGAACAGCACTTAGCACTCTGTTCGTGTCTGGTCCCTGCCTGGACCAGTGGATGTGATCATTGGCCGCAGAAAATTTTCTCCACTGCACCGTAGCAGGAATGAAATGGAAAAGGACGAACATCGGCTATGACCATTGAGACCTAAGTTTCTCATCGTGCACATTTCTTTTATACCACGAGAGCTTTCAAAGCTGAACCTATCCAAACTTAAGGACAGCAACCAAACTGAAACCTGCAGAACCGAGGCTGGATTTGCGGTCAATTCGATCTGCATGTTGTCAAACCAAACAAAGAAACTCGTCATACAATTCAACAGTGTATGCAATAAAACATCCACAGTGCTATCATCGAGCAGCGCTCTGAACATAGTTGCACTGTCTAGCTACCAAACCAAAGACATAACTGTGATCAACCAAGTATAGACAAGCTCTAAGATTAGTCTATTTTGGCATATATCATCGCTATATCATGATTTTCAACTATCACATCGCTGATTGTATCATGGACAACTATGCGATGCAATCCTGATGACGTTCATACAATCCACGTTATATATGTTAGTTGATGTCTGGGTGGTGGAATTGCGGCTGCCTACAGCCAATCTGGAGTGAGAAAGATGTAATCGGGGTTCTTGTTGTTGGATGGGATCATGTTGACAACACTCTGGTCTGGGATCCTGTGCGGAATGTAGAGGAGTCTGGAGAGATGATGTGGTGGAAGGCACAGCGTCACCAGGCTCACGCTGTGCCTTTTCTCTCGAGACCGAGCGCAGGCAAGGGACAGCATGCTTGTCCGATGCCAGGACTGGCTGATGTGATCACTGGTCGCAGGTTTTCCTTCACATCAAGCTTGCGAACAATAAAACTAAAGTTTTTGGGAATTTTACGCATAAGAACACAGAAGACCTGTCTCGACAACAGCGCAATAACGTTTTTTTTTTTTTATTACCAAAAAATTGGATTACATTTCAATCTCGAAGACATCGTAAAGAAAGTCGATACAGACAACTAATATCTTTGCGTATCCAGAAGCTTTGATCAGGTATTAGTTTTTTCTGTATATAATCCACGAAGAGGAATAAGTTACAAAGACAGATCCAATCACTACCCACGAATTCGCAGGACATTCGATGAACAGATATCCTGAACATGGATGGCCACATTGACCTACAAGACCGAACGAGAAACCATAAGGCATGCCAGGATTCACCCTGAGATAATAAGTCAGGTTTTT